ATGCTGTAGTTCTAGGTCAGACATATCACCCTCTTACGAAAACACGTACCTAAATAATGCTGTAGTTCTAGGCCAGACATATCACCCTCTTAAGAAAACGCGTACCTAAATAATGCTGTAGTTCTAGGCCAGACATATCACCCTCTTAAGAAAACGCGTACCTAAATAATGCTGTAGTTCTAGGCCAAACATATCACCCTCTTAATAAAACACGTACCGAAATAATATTTTTTTTTTGAAAAAGAAGAAGAAAAGATCAGTCTAGTCCGTAATAAGTTTTAGAATATTATTTACTGAAAAAAAAAATTAAAAATCTAAAAACTTCCAACAATACATGCCAAGGCAGTTAGAGACGTCATTTGCTTTTCACCTATAATTAATGACTGATTTTTCCTGAAAGTCCTCATGCAAGAAAATACCAAGATTATTCAAAGTTGTCTAACTGCTATTTTTTTTTTTTATCTTTTCCTGGGTCTTCTTCGTGAATTAAATTCAACAAAACTTAGAGCAAAAAAAAATCATGAATGATAATAAAGTTTTTTTTAAATAATTTACGAAAATAATATGTTTTAATATAAAGGATAAAATGTGAGATATACTATATTTACAGAAAACAAATATGTAACATCACATCTCTGCCGTTACTTTGCACGAGTTTTATGTTGTTACTTGAATGCACGTGGCGAGTTGAGAGACAACTCCCGATGAGCGATGTTCTTCGATATGCAGACTAAATCCCGCCATCTTTCTTCCACTCTTTGTCCTCAGTATGAACGCTTTCTCATTTTTTTTCTTTACGTTTGATAGAATTTTATAATCAAATAATCAAATCTGTGTGATTAGGAAGATATTTTAATTCCTAATGACAATGTTTCTTTAATTTATTTTAGTAAAACAACTGTCAGCTTATAATTACTAGAAACAGAGATTAATTTGATGGGGCGTGGTGCAGATCGGAAGGTCTAAGGTTCGACCCGCGATATACCGCTGAACATAGGTTACACATACAGCTGGGATTACGATATGATTTTAATGACCAATTCAGCGGTTCGATTAAGTGTAGTCGCTTAGGTGGCGGGTGCTGTTGACCTGAATTACGAGAGGTTATGTCTGAGCCTTAGCGGTCTTGGACCTGGCCGTTCTTTATTGTTTAATTTTACAAAAACAAACACATTTTACACTACGCCTCTTACAACTACTTTATTGTTCAATTTAACAAAAACAAACACATTTTACACTACGCCTCTTACAACTACTTTATTGTTAAATTTTACAAAAACAAACACATTTTACACTGCGCTTCTTACAACTACTTTATTGTTTAATTTTACAAAAACAAACACATTTTACACTGCGCTTCTTACAACTACTTTATTGTTAAATTTAACAAAAACAAACACATTTTACACTACGCCTCTTACAACTACTTTATTGTTTAATTTTACAAAAACAAACACATTTTACACTACGCCTCTTACAACTACTTTATTGTTAAATTTAACAAAAACAAACACATTTTACACTGCGCTTCTTACAACTACTTTATTGTTTAATTTAACAAAAACAAACACATTTTACACTATGCCTCTTACAACTACTTTATTGTTTAATTTTACAAAAACAAACACATTTTACACTACGCCTCTTACGTTACTGTTTTGTTTGGAATGGAATTATTACCTTGCAATATTTAAAACACCTGTTATACAACTATTACCACAGCAACAACGTATAAGTCAACCTTCAGTTTTGCCATACATATTCAGTTAAAGTTATCTATAATTTTTAGTTATTTTATTTAAAAGAGTTCTTTTTTTTTGTAAATATTTATGAAATTTCCTTTTGATACTTTGTTTTTAGTTATTCGGACTTTATCAACAGATTGGTCTTATAGAAACAGTCAAATATTCCCTAACATTGGGCTGGAATATGTTGAAAAGTGAGTGTATACCAAACCTGCGATTAGAATTAATTACGACGTGAGCACATCACGTGACGTAGATAAAAAGAACGAGTGAAGTAACAGCTGGTCACGTGACTTATCCACCTAGTGTTGAATCGTGAACATACTAGAAATCCAATATGGCTCTTATCTTATTATAGTTCTTTTGTTTCTTCACTTGAACAACTGTTGTTGTTTTTTTGACTTGCTGAGATTCTTGTTGTACATTTTTACAGCACCAAAACAGAGCTGACAGGAGAATTAAATGTGTAATTTCCTTAGCAAAACACGAAAAAACAACTTACTTTGATGTTTGATCACCAGGGGGATTTCGACGTTGACTGGTGGTTCTCTCCTGTATTCGTGGCCTGTTGTTTATTGGTTGACACTCACATTCGGTATGATTAATAAACAGTAGTTTTTCCACCGCGTTGTTCAGCCCAATTCGCATGCTGTTGTCTTTGAGACGAAGAGTCTGTAAAATAGAAACGTACTATTTTAGGAACATCGTGATTTAAGTTTCATCTTTTGTATAGTATATTGTCGGTACAAAAACTGGTCACTCGTTTATTGTTTTAATGAAACGTTTTATTTTAGTACAACTAAGATGATTTCATATATGGTGATGGGGTGGGCTATTTCCATAGAAAGTTAGAATCCTAAAACCTGTAAAAAAAATAAAATATTTATTTAATGTTAGAGAGGTTCTCTTTGAAGAACCAAATGCATCATAACATTCTTTGTAGTTAAGCACAAAGCTACAATGGGCTATCTGTGCTGTGCTCACCACGGGTCTCGAAACCCGGTTTCTAGCGTTATAAGTCCGGAAATATACCGCTGTGCCACATAGAGTGACCAGATTACTACAGTGTCAAATTGGTCCAGCGAGTTTCTTTTTAAATTTCTTCATTTTTTGTTTATTTGTTGATACCTGTTACGCGTGAAATACTGCACAGAGCTATGAGCGTTGTGTCCACCGCAGGGATAAAACACATAATTTTAGCGTTACGAGCTCTCAAGTTTGCAGCTGAGCCTAATGGGAACACTAATTTGTCAAAAATAACACTATGCATAATACTGGCAGTATCTTAGGGTTCAGTATTTTAGGTTTGAAGTCTTCATTTTCGCCTCAAAACACCTTTTTTTGTTTGTTATAGGCCGAGGGTAGGATATCAAGGTAATAGCTAACTGTTTTAATCCTAAATAAAGTTGTGAAGGGGATTTTTTTCAGCCACTCACCAATTGCTTAGCCACGTAAAAATGGCATGTAACTTTCAAAAACCGTTACTTGCCTTAGCTATAATATATCGTTCTATTAGAGTTTGGCTAGAAATAGTCACAACTCACAACTGAAACTCTTGCGAAACAAAACAGCTAAGAATGAAATATTTAAATTCACGATATGGGTTTATGCCTCAGTAAGTAGCACTTTATTCCAAAGTTCTTCTTTGGAGTTTTTTGTTATATTGTCTCTTAACGTAATATTTGAATATTTTGTTCAGAAATATCTGACCTCAGGAACCACAGTATCTTAATCTTTTTTACCAAAAGCTAGTGCTATCAAGATGCCATAACTTTCAGTCACACACTTATTAAATATTATCTTACTCCCTCCCCCGTCTAGAATGAATTATTTTCTATGATTGGCTGAAAGTACATCACGTGGTATGAAATATTTTTCACTGTTGCTTTGGGAGCTGGGCTACATTGATACTGGCGTGACGTCGGAGAAGAGCTTTGTAGATGATAGTTTTTTGCAGCACAGACCAGCAGCTCTGATTCACTTAGGCCTGATTACACTAAAAAAAAAAAAAAATTGTTCAAACCCGTAAAATGAACGTGGACGTACCTTATGGTGTAAGATTTAACTTACTGAAAGGTGAAAATCTTGAGTTGTTTAGGCAGCAGAACTTTGCAGACGTTAATTATTTTCAGTACACTAAAAACACTGATTCATCTAGGCCTAATAGACAAACAACGTCGCAAAACTAGCCAGCATTCTAGGCAAATTTTGTGTTGAAGTTAAACAGGTGTGTACTTTATACTTTGAAAATTAAACAATTTCTAAATCTTATTGATTTATTAATGATTCTTAAAGTGAGATCAAAATATGCGTCGAGATGTTAAACTTTAAGTTTATATGTAGGCCTAAGGATTTAGGCTAAATATTCTATGTAACGACGCTAATTAATCATATTTTAGCAAAGCCGAAAACAGAAGAATGGGTAGATATTATTAGCTGATGATATCGGGCAACAGATCATCGTAACCAATCTATAACTGTTTTTTAATCTTCATTCCTAACATTTTTTTTTGCCGAAGTATAAAAATAAATACACTAACGTACACAGTTGACACACTATCTCACTTCTAAGTTCTCAAACTAAACATTCCCAATAGATAAACCCTGCGTAGCTACCGAAAACTTTGGGGAAAAGTTTCGAACTAGTAATGAACACTTACATAAAAATTTAAGGTCACTTCCTGCATATGTAGGGGGCCACACGTATGGAGTTCGTCATCACAACATCCAGTTTCATCTGTACAGCGATGTAGTATCGTACAACGAGGTACGTACTGTTTGGAAACGTCTGGATAGTAATCCTTCACTCGAACTACGTGGGGCTGTGGGCTCTTGCATACCGTCTTCCTCCTAATCTCCAGGAAGTGATCGTTTGCTCGGCGGACATCTTCTAGCTCTAGAGGAACGACACAACATCATTTCTTTTATTCTGTCTATCTCCAGTGAACAGTCACGAAAACTGATAAAATTAATTGAAACAAGTGAGTTAAATATGGGAACACACTGATTATAGTTTCATTTGTATTTCCTTCGATATATTTTGTTAAAGTTGTTATTTATGTAGGCTTACGTATTTTCACATTGAAGATTAGAACAGAGGGTGGGGGGTTGACATCAAGACATCAATAGTTCCCAAACAGACATTCCTCGGCCCACGGGGGATCTCAAGTTACAAGTTAAACCTGTGGAATTTGGTATTGGAATGGGGGGACATTTCATACATGAGAGTTTAACATAGTCGATTGGGGCATCTATCCAATGTTCATGCATAACATCTACACCGCAGTTCACATTTGACAGTTTAATACAGGGCGCTGGGACATCCACCCCACAGTTAATATATAACACTTTAACACAGGCCGCTGAAGCATCTATTCCACTGCAGTACCCCTGATGTGTTGGATAGCTTATAAACAGTACCCCTGATGCGTTGGATAGCTTATATTCGGTGAGTTCCGATAAACGGTAGGGTGGATGCCCTAGTGGCCTGTGTTAAACTATCGTGTGCAAATTTATAAGCTATCCAACACATCAGGGGTACTGTTTATAAGATGTCTAATGTATCAGCAACCATTGAATATAAGTTGTCTCCCCAGTGATTCAGCGGTAAGTCTAAAGACTTCTAATGCTAAAAGCTGGGCTTTGATATCCGTGGTGGGCACAGCACAGATAGCCCACTGTGTAGCTTTGTGCTTAACAGCAAACAAGCAAGAATAGGTTGCTTAAAATATCAGATATGTTCTTCAAAAGCTATTCTACATGTTATGACGTTGCCAGTCACGAGCGAAGTAAGAACCCATTCATCATTTGATTAGGAATCATAAACCTTAAACCACTTAAGGTGCAGCTTGACAGTCTGAGGAAGGCTCTCAGCTGATAGCCTTTGGTCATTGTGATAAGTTCCAGAAATATCAAAGAATTTTGTTGTCAGGGCCACAGGAAATCTAATTCTGCTGTACCTTATCAAAGCCAACTGCAAACTGTATAATAAAACAACGTTAATCTCCTCTCCCCAACAAACGTTTGGTTAGAAGTTCACTGTACGTGTTTATATCTGTCTGTAAATAGATTAAAAAAAGCACCTGGGGGGGGAGGGAGGTGCTGTAACCAAAAACCTCACTTTGTTATATTATTATAGATATATCTCCCACGTTATGAGCCTAAACCTATATCTAACTGAGCACTGTTTACCATAAGACAACCACGAAACAAAGAACTGAAAAAAACCCTACTTCAACCTCTAACAAAGAAGTATCATTCTCATTAGGCACTTGACGAAGATCTCTATTTTAGCTCCATGAGTAAAATATAAGCAAAGGATCAGCAAAAAATTAGCATCACCATCCTATAGACTGAGGAAATCTGAGACTGATCTAAAAAAACTAAGTAGGTGAGAAAAACAGTTAAAATCTGAGCCAAAGAAAACCTTCTTCAAGTTACAATATCATCTTCCGCTTAGTTACCTTGTGGTGGATCTAATTTATTCTTTTACACTACTAGGACAGAATAATTCATTAATAGTGAAAAAGTGCTCGTTGTTCGGGACAAAGTTTTTAAAAACGAACAAGAAATATTAAAACACATTTGTGTAAAGATTAATCATTAAACATAAGATTAATAAACCGAGTAAGAAAGTAATGAATTTTAAACTTCTAATTTTATTAATGTCAGAATAACAGATGACACACAAGTTCATAGACTCAATCAATTAAATATTCTACCAAGTGAAGTTGAAAGGTCATTAATTGACCAGACTTACAACTGCTGGTCTCTTACAATTAATGATTTCAAAATCAAATCAATTCTCTTTGGTCTAACTCGATATAAGTTTCGGCCACGTCTGAACCCACCAATGTTGCCATACGACTCTGTTAAATATCTTGGAGCCAAACTTGATAAATACCAGGAAGACAACCTATAGCTCTTTAATAAAAGGTTTCCTCCTGACTCCACTTACTCCGACAAACTTCCTAGGGCTTAAATCCACCTCTTCTTTTGTAATCCCATAAAGCCTTGTCTAACATGTGGTCACACTGCTTAGATTTCTACAGACTACAGATTCAGGAGCGTTGTGTCTTCCAGATAATCGACTAATTACCCAGTCCAGATAAGAAAATTTATGAACACATCTCTTTTTTCCACAGATAATACTGGTCATGAAGGTAATAATTGTTACACTTTTATATCATGTCCTAGCCACCAGATGATACTGGTCATGAAGATAATAATTGTTACACTTTTATATCATGTCCTAGCCACCAGATAATACTGGTCATGAAGATATTCCTAAGCTACCAGATTGTATCCTGCTGATTGGCCGTTCTTTCTGTTGTTTGACACAACAGTTGCACAGGAAAAAAGTAACAAAACAGAATAAATAAAAAGAAGAAGCAGGTATGTATACACTACAATGAAATAAAATCTTCATTGTCCACTCTTGTCATTGTCCACTCTTATCATTGTCCACTCTTGTCATTGTCCACCCTTGTCATACCTAGTTTCGTCTCTTAAACATCTATTATCACATCACCTGGTCAAAGATAGGGTGTAACCCTTTGCTGACCACCACCCTCTTGGCTGGAATGAAATCGCACTTTAAAAAACAACAACAATAAAAAACTTTACAAATTAAACATATAACTCAATTTATAGCAACAGATTATTGAAAATTAAGTGGTTGATGCTTTTTTTTCTTTTTTATATGAAGTTTTCTTCACCAGTCCGTGCAGGTTTTATGTCTATCACGTGGGCAATAATATTTGATTCGAAGTATCTATGTAATACAAATATATATATATATATATTTAAATCGACTTATTTGTTTTATTTACTATATTGAACATAATAATAAACGTAAAATAACTTGTCGTGTCTACTCTGGGCTCTTTTAACTTGGATCAGTATTTAATATGAAGCCTGACTAAGCACATCACTTTTACTGAAAATCAACCCACCATTGGACGGAAGCCCTTTAGGCTAAAGATGTCCGCAAGTAGTCACGAAATTATCTTGGAAATGACTCATCATTCAAAGAAATTAGTGCCCCCCCCCCGTTCCTTCAACACGCACAGAGAAATGAAGAAATAACATTCAAAGTGAATACTCATAATACCCTATACATACATTACGTTGAAGTTCACGAGCTTTGAAGTGTGAGTCACTAGTGTCACGGTATTACATGACGTTCCTCATGCAGTCAGTGCAGTGGATTACTTTTATCTGATTATTCAGGCTTAATGGTAGCTGGACTTTTATTAAAAACTCTGATATACACACCTACCCACTTACTCTTCAGTCGTACTTGAAAATATTTTTTCAGTCGTTATACGAGAGCTATCTGGTTATAACAGTCCCAGATAGACTAGAGAGAAGGTGGCTGGACTAGCGCCTCTATAGTGGGATTTGACCATCAGTTTTTAGCGCACCCGTGGCCTCAAAGCTAGAAAAGCGCAATGGAACGTGATCCCCGAATCATCGGACTCATTGTTCGGTAACGATAACTACGGGCCACGCTCGGCCTTTTAAAATAAAGGAAAACTATAAAGAACGTGCCAGACGCGCGCTGCGAGTGTTTGTTAGATTTCATTACATCATAGAATTATGAAAGCAATAGCACAGTAAAAAAAAAAAAAACACGTGACTTTTGAAGAAAATCAAAAGTACAGTACAAGTCGTCATTATATATTTATATAAAACAAAAAGGTAGGATAACATAAAACTCAGAAACCCAAGTTTAATTAAAAGGTAGGATAACATAAAACTCAGTAGCCCAAGTTTACTTAAAAGGTAGGATAAGACAAAGCACAAAAACCTAAGTTTACTTAAAAGGTAGGATAAGACAAAGCACAAAAACCTAAGTTTACTTAAAAGGTAGGATAAGACAAAGCACAGAAACCTAAGTTTACTTAAAAGGTAAGATAAGACAAAGCATAAAAACCTAAGTTTACTTAAAAAGTAGGATAAGATAAAACTCAGAAATCTAAGTTTACTTAAAAGGTAGTATAAGATAAACTCAGAAACCCAAGTTTACTTAAAAGGTAGGATAACATAAAACTCAGTAGCCCAAGTTTACTTAAAAGGTAGGATAAGACAAAGCACAAAAACCTAAGTTTACTTAAAACGTAGGATAAG